CACACACACACACACACACACACACACACACACACACACACACACACACACACATATACACAACACGTACGTCCTAACAGGGTGCAACCGGTGGTTCTGGTTTTAAAACCACGTGTCCGCGAGAAGAGATAGAATTAATCGCGACGATTCACGCCGAAAAGACTCACCTCAGAATAACGTTTTACTTCGTCACAAATCAATGAAAAAACTTTCTACGCAATCTCACGTAGAAATTTACGAACACACGCACAGCAAACGCATCACTATTGCACAAGGGTGCGAAAAATCGTATATCTTACACCTCCGAGAGGTTCTTCGAGGTGCCGAGTCTCCTGCTTTCGTGACCGCTTTAAATCGGGCCCCCGCGACGGAATATTTGTCGGGGCTCGAGGAACTATGCTGATCGGAGCTATGCTGAGCCAAGCGGAGCGAACACTATTTTCAGCCTCGAGCCGAGCAAACTGCACCGCGCATCATAGCTGAATAAACCTCGGAAACTCGCAATTGCGACGTTAGAATTATCGGGATACTTATTGGAATTATTATAATGATTTTTGTCAATGATTTTTTAATTAATATATAATAAATTAAAAAATATGAATGATTTTTATACGGCAGTAATTTATTTAACAATTTATTTAAAATTTTTCTTTATTCAATGTTATTCATTTTTTTAACTTATTTTTTGCATCGTTCTTAAAATTCATATAGATCGTTAAAAAAATAACATAAAACTCTTGGTGATCGCAATAATAAGTAGAATGATAGAAAATAATTATAACAATTGAATTTTTATAATTTTGAAATGATTATAAACATAATTAATATAAATCAAGGTTAATAAGAGTCAAACGCAGGTATAATTAGGTGTAAGATCTTAAAATAATGAAAATTACGAATATTCTATCGATAAATGATGTTTTCTTTATTTTGAACTTTAACTTACTTTGGAGTCCTCTTTAGCAATAGATATATAACGAAATGCTCACATATCTAAAATGATTGTGTCACTCATAATTGCTAGAGATGAAGTGATATAAAATGTGGGAGTACAAGAAAACTGATTATTAGGAAGTAAAACATTAAAAAGTAAAACATTGAAAAGTGGAGTGACTCACCTTAGTAGATAAAGATGTCAAGAAGATTAGATATAATTATTCACAGAATTGTAATTTGTATAAAAAATACACACTTTATGTCTGATTTCTTATAATTTTTATACAAATTGCAATTCTGTGAATAATTATATATCTAAAGAGTGTCTGTATTATATTACGTCTATACCGTTAAAACATATCGCAGAAGTTTAAAACAATATTAAAATAAACGAAAAATTACATAATAAATATTTATTGCATAATAATGCAATATTTACATAATAAATATATATTATTATATTAAATTTTTTTCATTGTAGGATATTACACTTATCACAGAATTGTTTTCAATTTATATGATCCATACAATTATATATCGTATAAGAAATTATGTACGTACATATGTATGTTTTATACATTTTGATTAAATAATTTATCGAGAAATTGTTGATAATTTCAAACTCATATATTTTAAACGAACTAATGTATTATGTTGAATTAAAACAGCAGAATTTAATTCGATTTAATTAATACAAAAACTATCACGTCTAATAAATCATTTAACGATATTTGGTTTATAACATTCTCAAATTTCAAAACGACAATTATAATCTTGCTTTTGTTGCCATCGATCCTTGCCAAGATTTTCAACATAATATGTCATTGTCACAGGAACATGCAATAAAATAGATTCTTCAGGAAATACATAAAACAATGTATACACATGCCCTATAATCATTCTTTATTGGTAAAGAGCATTAATCTGATTAGAGTTTGCATATTTTATGTACTATCAAAAATTAGTAATTTATTAGATAAGTAACTTATTAAAAATTTACATTATATATACACTGATTGCTATTGGCAATTATCTATTGAACATCTGTAAGTTTTAACAATGTCTCATGAGTTACGTGACTATCTTTAAATTTACCGCCGTCAGTTCTCGATGTACACAGCAAAAGCTGACGTGTCTCGATAGAAACAGCTGATTGAACCATCGTTCGTGCGTTGTGTAGACGTATCTTTATTTTTTCGCTGTTAGGTTAACGTTTCTTAATTAATAAAATAAATAATGTTGGGAAAAATAAAAACGAAGCAGGAGAAAAGCGGCGGTAAGTGCGAGAATTATCTTGAAAATAAATGCAATTGTAGTAAACGCAAGAAAATTGGACAATATTATAGACTTTCTTGAGAGGTTATGTTTGTTATTTACTATTTAAATACAAACAAGATATAAATTATAAATTAATAAAATCAATCACATTTTATCTAATTAATCCACGAAGTAACATAACTAATTAGTCACGATCGATGAGTCTGAATTATTGAGTAATTTTCGTATTTCTAAAGAAGTTTTCATACCTGGTGAATATTTTTCTCAGAATTTTTTATGTAATTTAAAAAAATATTTACATAAACTTTAGAATTTATGAATTGACTTTTTAGAACATTTCTTAGATTTTCTATATTCTCAGATCTTATATTAAATTGTAACATTTTTCATAAGCGCTGAAAAAGTTGACATTTTAGAAGTTCGTTATATATGAAGAATTCTGAAATATATATTCTAAGATTTCTAATTTTTATTAATAAATATTCTAAGATTTCTATAGTTTCTAATGAAATCTTATTAAATCTGAATTATTGTAAGATTATTCAGAAATTATAGTATGAGAAATCTTAGAATATTTCATAATTCACATATATGAAAAATTCTGATTAAAAAAATATAGACTCAATATTTCTGAAAGGTATTCCAATTTGTATAAAAATTTCTAAAATTTCACCAGAGATATGCAATAGAATATTGCTAAATCAACTAAAGCAGATATTAAATATGATTATGTTTTGCAGAGATTGTTGCATATAGCGAGACGGCTGTTGCAAACAATGCCGCAGTTGTAGAATATTGTAAGATCTCAATGGCAGCTTTATCGGGTGGCACAGCAGGACTGCTAGGATTGACTGTATTATATGGATTTGTGTTTTACGTCTTTGCGGTTTTCGGGCTATGGGTAAGAGCACTATATTAGAATTAGCAATAATTGTATATAATGTCACGAATCATCGTCCTAGGCGATGCTATTGATGAAGGCTGGAGGCCAGTGGAGGAAATATTTTATTAGCAGGCGACATCTCTTGACCAGTGGATTCTTTGGGGGACTTTGCGTATCCTTTACACTGCTTTCTAAAGTTTCTCTCTAATTCTCTAAAGAATCTCTCTAAAAAATGAAAATTGAGTCAATTTTGAAAAAGGTTGACTCAAATTTCATTTTTTGAGTGACATTCACTCTTCAGAGTAAAATTCACTCTATAAAAATTTTAGAGAGTTTATTTTCTGAGGCTGGATTATATATTTTTTCCTTAATGTGTGATTGCAAAATCTTTTACAGACATATGTATTATTCTGGACGTATCCTTTTTCACAATATAAATGATACAAACAATATATTTCTATAGATATGCAATATTCAAACAAAACACATGAGTGATTGTGACATCAAAATAACTCCAAATGATTATCAAAAGTCACTTTTTAATCAATTACGATTTATTTTAATATCATTTTGATATTATCATAGGTCTGTTCTTTTTAGCTAAAGTTTTTGTATACTTCATCTTCTTATTCTTTCCAAGTTGGAGAGAAAGAAAAAAAGAACCGTGCAAGTAGTTCAGCTAAAAAGAACATGATCCATGACTTGTTGTTCTGCTTGATTGTTTCTTAAATACCAATACACTATAAATTTCTTAATGATTCTGATTCAGATTTTTATATGGAATGGTTCATGTCTATTGAAAAGAAAAAGAGTGGATGGCTTACAACAATTGTGACACTTCACGTAATTATTTAAATAAACAAGGTTGCATAATTATTATAATAAATCAGTCATTATATTTATTTTATTTAAGCCTTTCGAATATTGATAAAATAAATGATGAAGCGTTTACGCGTATTGTACACGTATGTCAATATGTATATAGAAGACATGTTTCTTTAAAATTATCACTGGCATTTATTATCCAATATTTAAATGTAAAAGTAGAAAGACAATATAAAAGTCAATGCAATAGAGATATTACATAGGAGTCATATTCTTTATTAGATGTATGATATATATATATATATTTGCATAATAAATTATTAATTACTAAATTACAATTATTCAATGAAAATAACTGATAACCATATACGTACCTAAATTTGTAACGACTGTGAACACATTTAGATAGTTTATCATTATTTTAGTCATCGTTATTAAGAGCTATTATTTAAAATAATATTGCAGTTATATTTAATATTATTTTTAATCGACACCATTGAAATAAAACACTTAAATTTATTTATGAGATATCTTTTTAAAATATCTTCGATAAAAATGAATATTTTAGCACTTTGACGATTTTCGTGTCAGATGCAAATTCCAATAATTTATTACATTATATATCTTTATTTTACTGTACATGTTTATTTCTGCGTACATTTGTCAATTCTAAAGTTATTCTAAAATAGAAGAATCTCACGCATTAAAGAAGAGAATAAGAAATCGAGATACAACTTCCGTTAATTTGTACTTAACATGCTCACATTTTCTATTTCAATGTTTAACTTTATTCATTCGCTACTAGCTAACACTCACTACAAAAACGGAAACTTATATTTATATGTCATTAAATAAGAATCATACCTATAGTATTCTTAATAATTATATGTATAGTTTATTTTGATATACGTTAAAAATCCACGGAAAAACTTTGATTTCGGCAGTGAAAATCAATCGCATTATACGAATATACTTAACACAGGGACGAGTAATTCTTGCGAACTGACGGATAACATTTTTATGTCCATTTCCACCAATGAGTAGATTAACTTTAATCTCGGTTTTTAATATCAGTTTAACTCACTTTTATTTTTTTCTAGTTCTGAGAATTAGAAAAAGGTAAGTAGGGTTAAACCACAATAAAAAGTTAATCTACATGGCAGAGACGAAGATTAGCGAAACAGCATCATGTCTTTGCTGAAATCTATAAAAAGATCTCAGATTTTCGTCTCAGAAGTTTGTTCATGTATTCCTGGCTCTTCTCGACAGCTCTCAGCGGCAATTTCGAGAGGCTTTCCAGTTTCCAAACCCTCTAGTCTCCTTTCCTCGTCCATCTTGTCTAGTTCTGCTTTACTTAAGTGGTAAACTATTCCAGCCCCGTAACCATCGCCCAAAACGTTGATCGAAGTCCTGATCCGATCCCTTGAAGCAAAACGATTGCTTTAATTTTACCGTTCTAATTGAATAATACCTGTTGTTCTCAATCGTCTATCAATTATCGTCGACTACTACTAATATATATATATAATTTTTAATAGCATATTCAAATTTTGATCAGATTATTCTTCGATAATCGATAAAAAATCACAACGATTATGAACATACAATGTATAGACACTACAATAGATATGTAACTTACAACATCCAGTCGATAGCGAATAACAGGGAAATATCGTTTGTAGGAAGACCTAAAGCAGTCAGCACCAACAGCATGGTGACTAGAGCTGCGCTGGGAATACTTGCGGCTCCAACGCTCGCTAAAGTAGCCGTAAGACTGTAAACAGAGCAAATTTTAAAGCAAAGTACTTGAATTTTTTAAATTTATTTATTAGATACACTGAAATTCTTTTCTTCAATTATAACTAGTAGTTGATGAAACGAAAGAAATCATATTCACGAAATACATATACCTGACAGTAATGACTTCGACGAATCCCAATGAGATTCCATTCAATTGTGCTATGAAGATTGCGGCCACGGCTTCATAAAGAGCTGTTCCATCCATATTTACCGTGGCACCAACTGCCACAACAAAACGCGTCACTCGTGGATCGATCTTGTTATTTTCTTCGAGACAACGGAAAGTCAATGGCAAGGTTGCAGCACTATAAATCCATGTATCGATTATATCATTATTTCTTTAAAAAGTTAATCATGCTAGAAAATTCAATTTTATACACAATTTTATACAAAATTATACACAATTTTATACACACTCCATAAACATAAATAAAAAATGACAGTATCACGATTTTTTAATTAATTTTGAAATAATTTCTGATTAATTTCTTGAATTAATTTTAAAATAATGATCACGTAAACTTAAGATTTAATTTCAGAAATGTTTTTAATTATCACCTCGAAGCGGTTCCTAGCGCTGTCACCCAGGCTTGCATCATACCTCTAAAGAATACTGCTGGATTTTTTCGGGTCATAAACCAGTAGATCAGTGGCAGCGTGATGATTGCGTGAATCATCAAGCCTAATACAACGGTTACCATATACAGACCCAACATTTGAGCGGTTGCCGCCAGATTTGTGATTGACATGATTTTTCCAGCTATCAGACACATAATTCCGAACGGAGAATACCTACAGCGATTGCCAATTGCATTATCGTAAAAGAGAAAATAAAAGAAAAGAGAAATGTTTTATTTATCTTAAATTTCAATACATTAAGTTAATATTCGTGTTCTTCAATCATTTATCAACTCATATATCCCAGAAGATTGAATTAAATTTGAATAATGTATGATGAATTATTCTTTAAGCTTATGTGAAATTATTTTATTAACTTTTTATTATTTATTATTTATTTCTTATGTATTTATATTTTTTATCTCAAACTCTATATGTGTGTGTGTGTGTGTGTG